TTGTCCGTTAACACGTGACTTGATTCGAAACTATTAAACCGACACAAAATGGGATTCATTTTATACTTCAACATTTCAAAGTAAAATAAAATAATTTAAAAACAAAAAATAATATTCATACTTTTAACAAAAAATAATAAGAATATTAATTATTAAATGATAACTTTAGAGACAGTCAATAAAAAAATTTATTTCTAGTGTCTACCAAAAATAAACAGTTGATATTAATCGCTTAAGCATTTAGAGTTCTCCAAGAAATCATATCTTTTTTGTCATATACAATCAAATTAAATACATATACATACAAACATGTCAATAATCAGATAAAGTTCGAGACGTCTCCTAAGAAAAAAGGAGGCGGCATTGTTATTGGAAGAGTTTGTTGTTGACTATAAATCTATAATATAAAAGACTACTATTTGTTTTTATTATGAATAATATTCATTTCATTCTAAATTATAAGGTATTTTTTATTAAAATTGGATGTTCCAAAATATAAAATACTTTGATAAAAATAAATTTTTTAATAATTTTTTGAATATTATTTTTTCTATTATATTATCTCTCTTTAATATTCTTCTATAAATGAAATATTAAATGAAAGATATTTTTAAAAGTTTATATTTTTATTTTAAAAATATATTTATAAAATATATTTAATAAGCTTTATTAACATATATATATATATATATATATAAAATTTTATTTAAAAGTGTTTATAATTTGAGACACATGACGTGTAATATCTTTCGATGGCTTTGAGATTTTGTTTAATCTATGAATATTAGGCTTTTAATATTTGATTAACGTTGCTTATGTCATGCTGCTTGTTACACGACAAATTAAAGCAATGAACCAACCACACGTGCGATCACAGCTACTCCAAATTGACACAGTTGAAGTTTCCAGGAAACAATAATTAAATAACATCATCATCACTAAGAACACAAGCCAGTAGTCACTATGCATACGTACATATATACCAATGCTTCACAGATCCATAATCCATTGCTTCTGTAATCTCATCAAACTTATTAGCTTCTCTAATGAACCCTAATCGTTCTCCTTTTGAATCAGTTCAACATTACTTGATTGAAGATGATCCGATTGGCTCCTTCACGGAGACCGGCAACCCTACTTCCAACTTGAACTGTGAGACGGCTTCGCTGGATCAGGGTGCTAGTAGCTCCAGTGGTACGGTGTTTTCCGGCGAGAATGACCACACTGTGAAACCAGGTGGTTATAATTGCATTAAGGGAAATGATGCGGGATCCGTGGCGCGTGAGGAGAACGCGCCATGTAGATGGAAGAATTACCGAGGCGTGAGGCGTCGGCCGTGGGGAAAGTTCGCGGCAGAGATCCGGGACCCGAAGAGGAACGGCGCAAGGACATGGCTTGGAACCTATGAGAGCGGGGAGGACGCAGCTTTGGCTTATGACAGAGCTGCTTTCAAGATGCATGGCAGAAAGGCCAAGCTCAATTTCCCACACCTTATTGGATCGGAGCCACCGCCGGAGACGGCAAGAGTGGTCATTAGAGAGAAGCGGTGCAGCTCGCTGGAACCTTCGTCGCCGTCGAACTGTCCATCTGAGGATGATGGATCTCAAGGGTCAAGTAAAAAGAAAGGCTGGCCGGTCTATTGAACAAGTTAGCAACAAATGGAAGCCACGTCAGATTCCGTTGATACTGAAATTGACAAAATTATCCAGTTTCGTGCTTAGCATGTTCATCGTCATGTACTAGTTTTGAAGGAAATGAAAAAAAAAAATAAATATTTCTATAATCTATAATATTCTAATAAACAGTAGGGGATTAAGTTTGCAGAAATATTTTTTTACTTGATAAAGACTACATAAATAAAAAAATATGTTAATATCATTTTATAAAATTAATAAAAATATAAAACAAATTCTCACTAAAACAAGTGTTCATATTTAATGTCCAACTGTGTATTAAACATAAATACTTTTAATTTGGAGGATTCGCGTGTGCAATAAAAAAATAACAATATAAAAAACTAAATTTTACAAATATAGAGTTAAAAAAATATTTTTTTTTTAAAAAGGAAAAATTGGTAAGAAGGATCATAAGGTCATTTAGGAAAAAAGAACTGAGATCTTTCAAGTAAATTAAGAATATAACCTTAAGTCACTTAATCTTAATTTATTTGAAAGACTTTAATTCGTTTTTATAAATTTTTTTATCTTATACGTGATCTTATTAATTTTGCCGGAAAAGCCAGGCGCGACGCGAAAAGTGAGAACCTAGGAGGCTAAGACCCACTAATAATATTTAGTGAAAATTATATTTAAGTCCCATATAGGAAAATTTATTATCAAAAAATTTCATGAAATTCACAAAATACTCTCAAGTATCAAAATACTGGCAAGTTATGAATGAATGTTGTCCAATTATCAATGCTTTTAATTAAATTGTAAATTTGTAAAATTTCAAATTTGAGAGTATTTTATACATTTTATGAGACTTTTTGATAATAAATTTCTTTATGTGAGACATAGGCATAATTTCTCCTACTATTTAAACAACTATTTATCTACACTATTACTTAATCATTATGCTTCTCTGTATTGATGAATAAGAAACATGTTATAATATATTAAATAATGCTGAGCAAAGCACATTTAGTTTTTTTTTTTGGCCAAATACATTTGATTGATAGAACATTGATTTGCAAGTTCTACAAGCACATGATCGGGAATAAATGAATTAATTCTTTTTCTGAAATAAAAAAATTAATTATTACTATAATATATTAAATAAATTAGGGAACAACTCTTTCAGAAGCTAGCTTCAGAAAACAAAGATGATCAAACATCCCACGACTTTATTATAATTCTTCAATAAAAAACACGACAACAATAATAAAAATAAAACAATAACAATTTACATGCATGTGATGTAACTGGTGTTGAGAATCACCGACTTCTCTCTCTCTAGAATTTTCGGTGATAATGTCTCATTCTAGAATTTGTAAGGACAGGATATTTGTTAAGAAAATCTGGACACTTCTCTCATCTCTCCCGAAGCATCGAAGGAGTTAATTTTGTTGATACGTACATATTAGCTACCCTTTTAAGTCCTTATAGTCATATTTAAAAATATAGTAACTAAAACTAAAGACTATATTCAAAACATGCTAAAAGTGTAGGAACCAATGGCCATATTTTTTTCTATTTTAATTTATATTGATCCTAATTGAATTCAATAATAACATAAAAAGGATCATGCTTACAATTAATTTTTATCGATCCTAATTTATATTGGTCATGTTTAGTATAGTTGGCAATAAAAAAAAATTGAAAGTGGAACTCACATGCATGAGATGAAATGATGAACGAAACCAATATACGCGCGCGCGCACTTTTCTCTAACCAAAGACAACATATCAAAGCCTGAAGATGAAAGAATCCATCAATTTTTTTTTTAAAAAAATATTTAAGTAAACAACTCATTAAAATTTAAGTAGTTCAAGTTAACACACATGCAAAGTATTGTAAGTCAGATTATCGATAAAGAATGTCAATTGTGGCCTTCAGTTTACAGAAAAAACTTGAAATATTAATAGAATTAGTTTTCTTTGATCAATATAAATTGTTATTTCCTCAAACAAATATTTCGTTGCCAATAAACTTTAGCTCGACCCTACTAACGAAGCACAACGAGTTTCCTTTTTCCCCCCTTTTCTCCTTTTTTTAATTAATAATTGATCGATTCAAGACTATATTTAGATTCCTAGAATTTTTCTAGGTCAAAGGATTGGACCACGTGCCGAAATTCTTTATCATTAGCAAATTTTATTTAGACAGCTGAGTCTGTTGTTGGTTTATCTTCTTTTTACTTTTTCTTTTTTTATTTGATAGCATCTTTGCACGTTTTTCTATTTTATTATGCAATGCGTCGTCATTCCTTATTACATCATTGGCAAAATTTTGAATTGAAGAATAAATTTATCATACTTTACACAAAATATAAGAAAAATAAATTTATACAAGAGTTGGCATCACATTCCTTGTGATCATTAAAGGTTGGTTTATTTACACTTGGAAAATAAGTAAATTTTATATTATTTAGAGATATTATGAAAAATATTTTGTATATTTAAAAATTTTATGAAAAAAAATAATTTAGTATTTACTGTTTTTCATTCCTTTTTTTTGATATTTTGATGTATTTTCATATTTTTATCGACACTTACATTTGATTATATTTTTAGAAACTTCTCAAAATTACTGCAATGGGTTCTAATTTTATATTTCAAATATATGACATAAGCCAGCACGCGTGCAATATTTAATAATGAAAATTTTATCAATTAAATAATTTGTAAGATATTAATAATTTGACTCGTATTACTTCTACCGTATTAAAAAAACACAGCAAAAGGATCAGCGAGCAGTTAAATTATTAACAGTACCACACATAAAGAAACCCTCATATTATAAACATAATTACAGTATATCGATCAAGAAAAGTAATATTAACCTTTTACATATACTTAATTAGTACTCACAACTTTTTCTTTGCTTTTTTTTTTTTTTGAGTTAAGCGTTCACATGCGTTGATATTCCAAATTAACTTTTTTCTTTTTTTTTATTTGCCATGCTCCAGAGTCTTTATTATTAAAATTAAAATTGAAGTTTCATGGAAACAACACACACAAGAATAAAATAATGTATTAATAATCCCTCCCTTCAAACAAAAGTCATTATGCATAATATATATAATTAGCCATGTTTCAATACTCATGTGTGCTTCTATACTCTCACAGAGAACTTAATTAGCTTCCAAAAAATGATCTCTAATCTTTCTTCTTCTTCAGATTCAGTTCATCAATGCCTTCTTGAGGATCATGATCCTTCCTCTATAACTCTCATGAATGTCTTCTTCAATTTCAATAACCCTACTTGAAACTTAAACCCTAACTGTGATGCTGCTGCTTTGCCGAGCAGGCTGTTAGTATTAACTCCACTGGTGGTACGATGTTTTCCAGCGGCGAGCATGACACCGCTATGAAAGAAGGTGATAGGACTAGTGTTAACAATGCCGGATCTGTGGCGCGTGAATGTAACGCGCCGCCAAGATGGAGGAATTGCAGAGGCGTGAGGCGGCAGCCATGGGGGAAGTTCGCGGCAGAGATCCGGGATCCAATGAGGAACGGAGCGAGAACTTGGTTGGGAACTTATGAGAGGGAAGAGGATGCAGCTTTGGCGTACGATAGGGCTGCTTTCAAGATGAGAGGTAGAAAAGCAAAGCTAAATTTTCCTCACCTCATTGGATCGGAACCACCGCCGGAGCTGGCAAGAGTAGTCGTCAGAAAGAAGCGGCACCGCTCACTGGAACCTTCATCGCCGTCAAACAGTACATCTGTGGATGACGGATCTCAAGGGTCATGTAAGAAGAAGAACCTGGCTGGTCTATTGAATAAGATAGCAACAAATTGAAACCTAAGTCAGAAGCTGGAAATGGTGTTGATGAAGGCATAGGTCCTTTTTTTCTCTTCTTCTTCATTTAGTTGAGAAAAAATTATAGAATATAAATAACAAAATCATGGGTTGAATAAATATATGTTGTAAATCATGGAATTCTTGAGCATATATATATACATATTTATATAGTTTTATGTAGCTCTCGTGAACTTTCTTTTCTTATGTATTTTCTATCTTTGTTATTCGTCTATGCATTGATATTCGATACCCTATTTTTCAATTTTAAGGATAATTAGATCAATCTTTAATTTCAAGCGAAACACAATCTTTTTTCTGGATTTGCATTATTGCTTTTAATAAACCATGTGCTGAATATTTTTGAGAGTATTTTTTTTTAAAAAAAAAAACGAAGTTGTGATTGCAATGATTACATTGAATTAATTAGAAGATAAGCTAAGGCACAAGCTTCTAATTAATTTTGAGAGTTTTTTTTTTTGGTATTAAGATGCTCAGTCTCGATAAAGATCATGAATAATAATGAAGATATTGATAATTATATGTACTTCAGCACTTACATGTATTTGAATAACCCTTGGTGCAAGACTGAAATATGTGAAATAATAAATCATTTTAAGGATAGTTGTTTATATTGCGAGTATTTTTTTTATTTTTGGACTTTTATCTCTAAAGGAAATACATTTATAGAAGAGTTTTGTTACAAGTGAAGTTTGTTTTATAAGTGCCAACTAACATTGTCATAAGTGGTAGAAACTCTTGTTACTTAAACAAGTAGTTAAAAGTTCAAACCTTAACTCTTATGTATGTAACAATTTAGTAAGGAGAGGTCTATCAATTGCTCTCAATCAGTATCTTGGGGCAGGTATTAATCTCAAAAAAAAAATATGTTTTATAAGTCTAGAGAACACATTCTCTCAATAGACTAATCTTTTGAATTATAACCCTTTCTTTGAATTTATACTCATAACATATTATCATGTGCATATACTACAAAAAAAAAATGACTTTCAATGGTAACTTTCAGTGACGACTCTAAAAAGTTGCTGTTAAAAATAAACAATCTATATCAATAATAAAATTCATCGTTGAAAGTTCGACCTTCTGTGGTGACATGCAAAGTCGCTGCTAAAAATATGACCTTCTATGGTGACAACATAAAGTCGTCACTAATTGTCAAACTTTTAACTGCAACAAGTGCATATTGCCGCAAAAAGTTTACAACCAGTGGCCACTTTTAAAGTCGCTGCAAAAAGTTGACTTTCAACGATAACTTTTTAGAGTCACTATAGAAAGTGTGATTTTCAGCTACGACTTTATATATTGCCATTGAAAATGTGACTTTTGTAACTATTTCTAGTAACTAGATATTATCGTCATAATTATTTATTTTTTTGTTTAATTCAATATTTAACATTTTAAGACATTAATTTTTTTGTGTTATTGTAATTTTATGATGTATATATAAAATAACATAATGACTTTTCATTTAATATATTTTATGGTTAAAGTAATATTTTAAAATAAAGAAATTATTTGAAAATAAGGTTAAGGTTAAGGTATTATTTAATATTAATGAATCAAATTAAAGAATCAAGCCAAAATATATTATTTTAGGCTATTTTCGGTATCAAGTAATGTTCAATTTGATTTGGTCCAACAATTTAAGCTAGTTTAGTTTATTGGTATTGTTCAATTAATATTGAATCTAATTAAATTGACCAATGCATACGCTTGTGTAAAGTAATAATTGCATTCAAAAGCCTATTGTTTTATATTTTAATTTGGAATGCATATAATGTGGTATTGAGTCTCTATTTTCAAATGTTTTATGATTAAATTAATATTTTACATAATAATACTACTTATTTATGAAAATTAGACATGTGATAATTAAATTCATTCATTCATAGAATGATATTTAATCTAATCTAATTTTTTAATTCAAATTTTATATTTAATATCAATAACTTTAAAGCTTGATCTTAGTTTAAATGTTCTCAGTTTGATAGCTAATGATGGGAAAGAGAAAGATGAAAAGAAAAGAAATGAAATATTTTAAAATTTTACTTTTAATTTTTATAATATATGAAATATATCTATGTATAATGTGATGCTATATAATTTCTTATAATGCTATCTTGCGGCATAAATACAAAAAAAAAAGATAATATAGTGTATAATTTTCTTATAAAATTACAATTTAAAATAAAAATTGATTAAAAAAGTAAAATGTAATGTAAAAATAAGATAGTTCCACTACTTAAAAGTTTTTGTTACTCCCTCCATTAAAAAAATGTAAGGCATTTTTTAAGAAATTAAATACCCTATTAAATAATGCTAAATATGGAAAGATGATATTAGTTTGAAGATAAATAACTAATTTATTGAGAGATAAGATTTAATTAAAAATACCTTATAGTTTGAGCAAAGGGAGTATTAAAATATATAATCACATAATTAAAGTGCTATATATATATATAACACAAATTGTTATGAACATAAAGGCAAGACTTATATACTTAGCTGTGTATACTTAATGTACTTTTATCTAATTAAATCAAGACATGTGGACTTTAATGTATTAATAATAAGAATTTTTTATAGGATAAAAAATATATAAAAAATATAAGTCATGATTTAATTGGGAAAAAAATATCTTAAATATATAATGCAAGTTTTTCCTAAACATATGTAATTCAGTTGGAAATATTATATATTATAATTATTTTCATTTTTAGTTTAATTTTTTAATAATTTAAATTACTTATTAATAGAACATTTTCCAACGTATGATTGTTTGAAACAAATGATTATTATATAGTCCGTATAAAAAATAATATGATATACGGAGCCACTACGAAGAAGTTCCATGAGTTACGAAAGAAACTTCAAGTTCATATTGGTCATGGGTTGAGAATGGAAATTGAACTCTATGAGATCTAATTTCCTATTGTTCCTCAGTAGCTCAATGGTAGAGTGGTTGGCTGTTAATTAACTGGTAGAAGGAAATGAATAAAATATGAAAGAAAATAGAAAGAAATGAAAGAAGGCATCAAATTCTATTTGTAATGTATCTGAGATTTATTTTGGCTAGTTCTACCCCTCAATTTCCCCAGACTAGACTTTTGGGTTTTTCAACCAACTAATTTAAGCTTTTGAATAGAACTTATGCTTGATAGAAATATTCTTATCATATAGAGTTGATGAATAAGGTGAAGCTGACTTCATTAAAGATGAAATATGGCAAAAAAGAAAGCATTCATTCCCCTTCTATATCTTACATCTATAGTCTTTTTGCCCTAGTGGATCTCTTTCTCATTTAAGAAAAATATGAAATCTTGGGTTACTAATTGGTCAAATACTAGGCAATCCGAAATTTTCTTGAATGATATTCAAGAAAAGAGTATTCTAAAAAAAATTCATAGAATTAGAAGAACTCTTTCTCTTGGATGAAATGATAAAAGAATACCCGAAAACAAGTCTACAAAACCTTCGTATTGGAATCTACAAAGAAACGATTCAATTGATCAAGACACACAATGAAGATCGTATCCATATGATTTGCACTTCTTCTTTTGTTTGCAGTCCCGCATTCGAATCAGCTAGAGCGCTTTTCTCACCAAAATAGCATAAATTGTAGCTAATGTGGAAAGCACCTAAAGGATGATGTGGTATCATGCCAGGAGTTGATGTGGAGTGCTATGTGACAAATGTTTAATAGAATCACTTTTTAACTGATGCCTTTCAGTGGTGACAAGTCAGTCGCTGTTGATTGTTAGTTTCAGTGGCATTCAGAGGTGACATTTATTGTTGCTGATTCTTAGCTTTTAGCAGTGATTATTTTTTAGTGGCAACAAGTTTTACTTTCTATGGTGACATTAGTTGCCGCTAATTGTACACAATTTAGTGACGACTTTTTTTATCACCGTAAATAGAATCAGCGATAGAAACTCTTGCAGTGACATTGTAGTGACTTTTTGTCACCGTTAAAAAATAGTCACTCCTAAAAGTTGAGAATCAGCAACAACAAATGTCGCCTCTAAAACTAACAATCAACAACGACTGACTTGTCATCGCTAAAAGGTAATCAATGATAAAAACTCTTGCAGCGACATTGTGGTGACTTTTGTTACTGCTAAAAATAATCAGCAGCAACTTTTCAACTTTTAGCAATAACTTGTCACCATGCGTGTGATATATATATATATATATATAGTTAAAAATTATAGACAAATATAATTTTATCATTTTTTCTTAGTTCAGAAATTTCCTGCTTGGAGAATTTTGCAATTTTTCCATTTATAAGAGTGTTTTATATAAATTATTATGACATGTAATTACGATTGGATCCACCATTGAGATGTAGAAGTGATCAATGTGATATTAATTAAAAGTGATTTCTTTGTATTACAAAAAAAAATAATTAATTTCTTGGATCCATGTAGGGGAAAGTTTATGCTAACAATTCAAACACTCGTGGTATATTAAAAGAAATATAAATAATGCAATTTGCTATGGATTATATATAAGTGTGCATATGATTGTTGATGATAATAAGTAGTTTTTCATAAACAACAGATTTTTGTCATTGAAATTTCTAAAGAAATAATTGAAACTTTTTATTTGGTAATATTTGACCTGTGTCCTTGCCTCTCATGTCTTTTAATAAGACAAATTTCAATTTTAATGATGATAGATTTGTAATGCATGGAAACAGAATATGTGTGTCGGTTGATGATGGTCTAAGGAAAGTAATGCAAAATGAAGATCATTGTAGTAAATACACAATTTATCTAAGAGCTACGATGATCGATGTATTAGCATATGAAGCATTATTGGTGGTGGTCAAATATAAAGAGAGATGTGACAAAATGTGTATCTTGATATTTGACTTGTTAGAAGGTCAAAATCGAGCATTCATTTATTTCCAATGTTCTTTTTTAAAAAATACTCCTTCCTTTTTTTATTATAAGAAACTACAAATACTTTATTGTTTTTTATAAGTATTT